GGGAAAATCGCTTGGAAAAGGAGAAAAGGTGGGGGGGAAGGGGCGGAGGGGAAGGAAGGACGGGACAGGGAGAGTTTTGCGCCCCTCCCCTCCCCCCTCCTTGCTTGGGACGGAGCAAAAGAGGGGCCGCATTTGGGGGGGGGGCAGGGAGAAGGGCTGAAAGGGTGAGGGGGGAACCCTGTGTCCTCCCAACTCCCCTTTGCTCTGCCCGAAATAAACAAATAATGATAAAAAAGTAATAATAATGATAAGCAATAATTATTAATAATACTAGAGAGGCCGAGTGAGCGCCCGGGGTGTCTCTCTCCGCGACTTTTTCCCTCTGTTTTATCGCCCGTTTCGCGGGCCCGCGCGGCGGGGCCGGGCGCGCGGGGGGCTGCGCGCCCGCGGGGGGAGCGGGCGGGAACAAATCGGGGACAAAAGCGGGGCCCTCGCGAGCCAGCGGCGTCGTTAGGGAGACCCGATGGCATCTCCCCCGCGACGAGCGCCCTTCAAAGCGCCGCGCGGCTCCGCGCCGCTGTTAAGTCCCCGCTTTTTTTCTTTTTCTTTTTTTTTTCTCTTTTCTTCCCCCCGCCCCCTCTTTCTTTCACTTGGCGGAATTCATCTGTTTGGTTATTTTTCATCGTGTTTATTTTTGGCCATTCACACGGGGCTTGTATTAAATAAACAAAGGACAATCGCTCTGCAAATAAAAGTGCTTGGGGGGAACAAAAAGAGGGGGCAGTGCAAGGAGGAGGGCGGCGAGAGATGGGGCTTCCTCCCTGCTTATTTAGGGGGGACACTGCAAAGGTTCCACCCCCCTCCAATAAATAAATAAATAAACAAACAATTAAACAAATAAACAAATAAGCAAATAGATAGATCAGGTGGCTGGGGAGAGAGACCAAAAAATATGAGCCGCCCTGATGCAGCGAAAATTGACTGCGCTAACGCGGCGTGTAACTAAAGGTCAGCGCAACTGTATCTTAATAGAGTGTCTCGAATCGAGGTGGGCTGCTTGAAATGCAGCCCGCTCGGGCTGCGCCCATTGCCATAGCAATCCCAACGCTGCACGCTGATGCACCATTAAAAAAAAAAAAAAAAAAAAGCAGTACTTTGAATTTCAAAGAACCTGCCTTTGAACTTCTCCCTGCCTGATTAGGCCCTTGCGTGGGGTGCGTGTGAATGCGGGAGCGCGGCGGCACCGGGAGCGGGGAGCCCGGCGCGTTCCGGGGCCGTTCTGCTCGTACCTGGGAATGTCGCGCCGAGGGGAAAAGCGGGGGCCGCCTGCCCGGGGCCTGCCGGCGTCTCCAGCGGCACAAAGCACGCGGGGAATAAATAAACAGATAATCAGATAGATAGGTAGGTGGGTAGGTAGGTAGAGTGGTAGGTAGATAGGTAAGCAGGTAGGTAGTTATTTGGATGGATGGGTGGGTGGATGGATGGATGAATAGAGAGATAAAACCCAGGCTCCTGCTGCCCTCCGTCCGGACATTCCAAGCAGGAGCCCGTCCCCTCGGATGATGGGGGCAACTCGGCTGCTGGTTTCGGGGGGCTCCCCCCTCTCCTCGCCGTTTCCCACACTCCCGAGATTTGTTGGCCCCTTCAACCTTCGCTGCCGCCGCTCTCCTCTCGCCTTTAAAGGGCCCGGGCGGCGACGCGTAGTGCGGGGGGCGACGTCCCGCAGCCCCCGACACAAAGGTGGGTGATTTAAACTGTGTTTGTGAGGAACACTTTTTTTTTTTTCCACGAGAGAGAAAAAAAAAAAGATGAAGTCTTTGATGATGGCCAACTTAGTGTCAATAAGTGGCTTTCTTTGAGGCATATTCAGATGGGAACGTCTTGCTTGCCAATTGCCATAGAAATCCTAACACACCATGAAGATTGTCCAAGCGCCAAGCCTTCCGCTCCGCGCAAAATTGCTTTGAAGTGGCGCAGGACGCGCACTGGTCAATTTTAACTCTATAGAGTGGACAGGGAGCCCTCGGAGCGGGAGATTGGGCGTCCCGGAGCAGAAAATAAGAAGGGGAAACTTGTTTTAGACACTCTATACAAGGTCCTGCTTATTGTCAGCTATCTTTTATCTTTTATATTTCCCATGAATGATTCATGTCCCGGTGGCTTTGTGCTGCCCTCCTTTTCACCAGAAACTTCATTAGAGAGCTATAAGTTTTCCCATTGATTGGGAGCCCTCATTTATGAGTGTTTTTCTGCTTCGCATGTTGGTTATTGTCATCTCCCTTGAAACAACTCTTTGCAACCTGTTTCACCTTTACCACGTTTGACAAAACTGCCTTGAAAAACACTCTAACCTTTTGGTGAAACTGTTCTTGACATTTTGACCAGTCATTTTTCGAGCGCCGCTAAATCACATGGAAAAACGGGGCCCCTTTTTTTTTTTTTTTTTTTTTTTTTTTTTTTTTTTTTTTTTTTAAGAATAGGATATAATCCACGAGGATGTTGCCACACATCTCTGTCTCGCATTTTTTTTTCCAATAGCGGGTTTCAGCCGGGATTTCTCTCACCGAAGTCACTGCCAGCGAAACACATCTGCTCATGCAGATACCCCAAAATTCTTTTTTTCCCCTTTTTTTTCTCTTTTTTTTCCATTCAAGTAAGAGCACGACATTACCTATAGCCTGACTTCTTTTTTTCTATACATTTTTCCCCTATGTCTTTTACTGCAGACTGGAGCTATTTAACTTATTGTCAGGGGAGATTGACAAGAAGACTTTTTTTTTTTCCCTCCAAAGTAAATATTAACATTTCAATTGATTTGGATTTGTCAGTGCTGATACTTTGATTAGCTGACTTGGAGAGAGAGGGAGAGGGAGAGAGAGGGGAAGGAACGTGTGGATAAATGCCTGACTTCAGCCTGCGCTTCTCTAATCCGCCTGTCCGGCTACTATTTACCCTTCCGTCCGTCCATCCATCCCTCCACCCATGCGCCAAACTCGCCCGGGCTTCCCGGAGTTTTACCCTTAGGAGCGCAGCCCGGCACCAACCGCGGGCTCCTTCCATGGGCAGCGACTCGCGTGCGGAAAACCCGAGACCGCGGGGGAAATGGAGCCGAGGAACGTTTCTTGCTTACATGTTTGCTAGGAAAAAGAAAAAAAAAATCCCGGTTATTACCCCAGGTGGCCCCAAATCCCCCAGCTCTTCCTCCTCTTCGGCGCTGCCGCGCAGCGACTCCCTCTCCTGCCTCGCTTCTGACCCTCCGCGTGCGCGTTGGGCCAGCGCGACCTCCTCTCTGCAGCAAGGCACACGCCATGCGTAGAAATAAGACATTATTATTATCATCATCATTATTATCCATTTGCTCGATAATTATTCCCTCGCTCTCTCTCCCTCTCTCTCTTATTTTTATGTCTTTCCGGTGTTTACAGAGAGGAAGAAGGAATTATATTATTCTGAATTTTATTGAGGACGTATCATGTGTCATAAAATCGATGGGCGAGAGTGTGGCTCTACGTGTAGCAAGTACATAAAGAATAGCGATATATCCCCCCAGCGCCATATTTTATAAACCCTGCAATGAAGTAACGTATAGTGCAATCTATTTCTGGGGGGTTGGGGTGGGGGGGCATAAATTAAAAGATTCGTTTATAAATCAGCATCAAAACATCTCTAAGATTACGTTACATAAATTACTATTTTAAAAACTCCGTACCTTACTTTTATTATTTTCTATTTATTCCAAAAAGCCTTGAAAAAAATGAATAAAAAGCAATTCAAATGAAGTTTTTTTAAAAAATCCCCTATTCAAGTTTTGTTTGTTTCTTAAAGTAACAGTTTTCAAGTCTGCTTCTTTAAATCCACCACAACAGTATGAAGATAACGTTGAAAGGCTTCCAGAGCGACAGCACCATGCACTGTACTAATAATATCTCTATGAACTATATATATATAATGTGTGCATATATATATATATATCATACATCATCATCACCACCAACGTACCGCACAGAAGACATGCAGGGAGAGTCTGTTGCACATGACTTTGTCCGTTCAAGTAAGCCGGAAAATATAATGACTTTTTTTTTTTTTTTAACAAACCACGGCATCATAAACAACGATTTATCACCAAAATTAATGACGGAATTCTTTGGTGTTCTCTCTACTCTTCCAGGGGAGAAAGGAGAAATTAAAAAAAAAGGAATGGGAGAAAAAAAAAGAAAAGGTAAAAACAAAGGGGAAAAAGCAGGGGAAAAGGAAAAAGAAAAGAACAGAAAAGGGGGGCTGGTGCCAGAAAATAAATT